CTGGAGCTAACACTGACCTACAGAATAAGTAGTATCATGTATGAGGGGTGTGGTGGTTCTACTGTGTGTTAAGGTGTCTATCTGTGTTAATGGTCTAGTGTGTGACGAACCTTTCTGTGAAGTCATGCATTGTGTCTGTCTGTCATCACCAGGATGGAAACTCTGCACTGATGATGGCTGCCAGGGAGGGTAGGACTGAAGTAGTTTCACTGCTACTAGAGGCTGGAGCTAACACTGACCTACAGAATAAGGTAAAATTGTGTACCAGGAGGTGTGGTTTTGGAACTCTATGTACCAAGTCATTGTTGTCTCACTCATACATTTCTGTCATCACACAGAATGGATACTCTGCACTGATGATGGCTGCCAGGGAGTGGTAGGACTGAAGTTGTTTCACTGCTACTAGAGGCTGGAGCTAACACTGACCTACAGAATAAGGTAGTATCATGTATGAGGGGGTGTGGTGGTTCTACTGTGTGAGGCGTACATCATCTAGCTGTGTTAATGGTCTAGTGTGTGACGAACCTTTCTGTGAAGTCATGCATTGTGTCTGTCTGTCATCACCAGGATGGAGACTCTGCACTGATAATGGCTGCCAGGAGGGTAGGACTGAAGTTGTTTCACTACTGGTGAAGGCTGGAGCTAACACTGACCTGCAGAATAAGGTAATGTGTTGTGCTTGAACTGGTGTGGTGGTTCTATGTGTGAGGTGTCACATCTAGCTGTGTTAATGGAGGTGTACGACCTTTTTCTGTGAAGTCATGCATTGTGTCTGTCTGTCATCACCAGGATGGAGACTCTGCACTGATGATGGCTGCCAGGGAGGGTAGGACTGAAGTAGTTTCACTGTTACTAGAGGCTGGAGCTAACACTGACCTACAGAATAAGGTAGTATCATGTATGGTGGTTCTACTGTGTGAGGCGTACATCATCTAGCTGTGTTAATGGTCTAGTGTGTGACGAACCTTTCTGTGAAGTCATGTGTTGTGTCTGTCTGTCATCACCAGGATGGATACTCGGCACTTATGATAGCTGCCAGCAGTTGCAGTAAGACAGTTCCCATGCTAGTAAAAGCTGGTGCTGCACTGGACCTGCAGAACAAGGTAACAATCTAGTGTCATAAGTGATCATGGTATTTTCTACATGCGTCTCTATTATTTTCCAAGGAAGGAGACACAGCTGTGATCATGGCTACACTGAGGTACCATTTGCCAGTGTCGAAGGAGTTGGTCAGAGCTGGAGCTGACCTCAACCTACAGAACCAGGTGAGTCCTCAGTGCTGAAAATGCCATAAATGGACCCATTTTCCACTGCAATCAGGAGGGGTTGACGGCCCTGATGATATCCTCAAGATCTGGTAGAACTGATCTCACAGAGATACTGCTGTCAGGAGAGATCATCTCTCTTGATATTCAGAGTGTAAGAGATGAGATAGTTGGCAAGCAAAGAGCCTAGAGCTACCTAGTCGTCTGAATGTAGGATGTCTCTATGTTATAACCCACACACGTTAACACAGCCGCACTACACATACCGTAATGTTTTACGTGATTCTAAATTATGTGCAAGAATAACAGCTGCTCGCATTCGCTCTTTTATATAATATTTCTTTTTCATCAGGTCAATTGGATGGTCGGCTCTGTTCTTTTGCTGTTGACACGGAGATGCAGCAACAACGAAATTACTGCTTAAGGCAGGGGCTGACCCTTTTCTTCGAGGCCAAGTAACCATTGCCAGGATAATTTCACACTAATGTATTCCACTTTCATCTTTCAGGGGCTTACAGCTATGGATGTTGCTTCTGCTAACGCCCCTGCCCCTTCTTTGTCAGAACTCTGAGTGCTGAGAGTCGTAGGCACAGAGCTATGCATCGCTTCTAAGGAAACACATGCAGAAACCCCTCAAAACAGAAAGTGTCACAGCAGATCATCTCTGGAGCTCCACAATCAGCAGAAACTGTCTTTGGAGCAATCAGAATCATCTCTTGAAGCCGTCCGCAACTCAGCAGTATCATCTCCGTGCAAGGACAATTCTCGTAAGTGTACATGATAATATGAGATCAGATCGAAATATGTTGCAGTACACAATCGTATTGCGCATTACCTCATGCACTTCAAGAGCTGTTATGTACATAAACCTTGCACATCTCAAAAACATGAATGTGTCTAGTACATATGTGATGTGTACATGTGTCTCCCTGAGTGAAACAGTGCAGCACATACATGTACAAATGTACTGCTGGCTGTGAGAGAGCGAGAGAGAGAGAGAGAGAGAGATGAGTATGTGTACATGTGTCTCCTGAGTGAAACATGTGTGGCACACAACATGTACGAATGTACTGCTGGGTGTGAGAGAGAGAGAGAGAGAGAGAGAGAGAGTATGTGTACATGTGTCTCCCTCGAGTGAAACAGGGCTGGCACACATACATATACAATGTACTGCTGGGGCTGTGAGAGAGAGAGCGAGAGAGTATGTGTACATGTGTCTCCTGAGTGGAACAGGTGCCACACATACATATACATGTACTGCTGGGCTTGAGAGAGAAGAAGAGAAGAGTATTTACAGTGTCTCCTGAGTGAAACAGGTGGCACACTACATAAATTACTGCTGGGCTGTGAGAGAGAGAAGAGAAGAGTATGTGTACATTGTCTCCCTGAGTGAAGACAGGTGCCACACATACATTATACAATGTACTGCTGGGCTGTGAGAGAGAGAGAAGAGAGAGGAGAGAAGAGATGTGTACATGTGTCTATCCCTGAGTGAAACAGGTGCACCACATACATAGCTACAATGTACGTGACCTGGCTGTGAGAGAGAGAGAGAGAGAGAGAAG